AAAATAAAAATAAGGTGTTACAATATTCTTTAACAGGGTTTATTGTATATATATATATATATATATATATATATATATATATAAAGAATTCCTGTTAGGTGTTCTTGAGGACTAGCCTAGGCGCTCGGATGATGCCACGTTGTCGAATTCATCTCAAGTTCGTAATAAAAATGTTCTGTACTAATTTTTATATCAGGTTATCATCAATCATCTTAATATATACAAATTAAGAAAAGTACATTATCATCTTATTTAAATTTATCGAATTTCTTCATTGTGTAAGGACGGAAAAAAGCACTAATAGATTTTAAATAGATCGGTAGCCATAATAATTTTGTTTAATAACTCTTGATGATATGGTTATGCAGAATTTCTGTTTCCATATGGAAAAAAAGTCTTTGAATAAATCTTGATAAGAAATGTGAAAAGATAGTTCAAGAGAGAATGACTTTCACATAAGATTTCAATACGATGTTGGAGATTAACGTTGATTTATTCATTCAATTGTGCTGCCATTTGCAAATTACCTAATTAAAATTAGAAAAAAATTTCTTCGTGTTTTATCCTATCCCATTGTTCACAGGCATTAGTAAAACATATTTCCAAAAGTCGGACATGTATTAATTTTTATCACAAAAGTAGCATATTTTAAAAAATAGATATGACAAACCGAATGTATAAAACATGTCTTGGAGCGATGCAGATTACATAAATAAAAGCAGCGTACTGTCGAAGGATGTAGCATAAAAAGTTGAGCAATCATCACTTTTGTTAAATTAGTCACAATAGAAGATCTAATTTAGCCGAAATATTGTAAAATAACACTTTTTATTGCTTGCATCATGCATGATTTTATATAAAAAAAATGCACATTTTTCTAAAAAATGTGTAGTATAATATATTATAACTTCTCAGCGATAATTATTGATATGAAATTATTTTAAGATAATGTGGAATAAGCGATGGGATTATGTATAAAGTGTAGTTATATACATTAATATATCTGTATTATTATATATAAATAAATGTATGTAGAAAATACACCGACTTTAAATAGCATAATATTTACATTAATCGAGTGTAATTAATTAAATTACATATGCAGATTTTGATTGAAACTGTATTTTTATAATATGTCTCTGTCTGATTGCAATGATAGTAATAAACAATAAAATTTCTTGATGAAAAATCCGTGCAGCAATATTAATAAAATATAGTAAAATATAAATACGATTCTAAATTTATATATTTTTTTACCAAATGGGGAATGCAAGAATTTGTATTTTAGCATTAATACAATTTTTAATACAAATAGAACGTTTAATAATTATTGAAGCTCATGATAGAATAAAAAATTCATATATTATGCTTTGTTGCATCTATATTTAATGTGAAATATATTTCACTTGTTATGTGAAGAGTAGTGGATCTTAAGTTATGGTGATAATAAATAATTCACGTTGAAAAAGAACAGAAGCTCATAAATTGAGTTTTATTATAAATATATATATATATATATATTGTTTAAATCCAAGCATTTTCTTAAAATAACTTGATATTATTATGTTTGTAGTTGTTTAATAAAAATTTAGTTTATTTGAATTTGTATTGTGCAAAACAAAAACTGTGAATATCCGTTTTATTAGTTAACAACTTTAATTATTTTTTTACAAGAAATATAATGTAAGTGTATTGTTAATTAATGAACAATATTAATAAATAATATCGAACCATTGAGAGAGACTAAATTTTTGTTTACATTGATATACAATATGAAAAATAATTTTAATCTTAATTATATTATAGCTAATATGTTTTTCTTATTTAAGATTAAAATATATACAATCAGTGTATACATAAAAATTTTGAGAGAATGAATGTGCGTTATTCATTCTTATTATAAGCTTTTAATCTAATAATTATTAGTATACATTTTATAATTCATTGTTCTTATATTTTTATTCTATATTTTCATAAGAAAAGTTTAAAATGGTGATAATCAATTCCTTAGTAAATGATATCTGCAGACTATTATAAATTATTTTAAAAAGTATGCGAATATAACTTTTAATTTATTTGATTCTTTATTGAATTAAGAAATTATTAGAAATAGTAAAAATAATATACCTTGAAATTATAATTATATAAATTATCTGTATAATGAAATATTTAATGTTAATATAAACGGTTGTATTATATTGTACTATAAATTATTGAATTGGAGCGAATAAAGATATTAATGTGCACGAGGATAATTAAATAAAATATTTTTCTAACATCCATGTTCATCAATTGGCTCAAACATTTTTGCTTTTTATTAATTTATTTCGTACTTCTACATGTTGCGATTAACCTTTTAGTTTTGTAATAAGAAAATTTCATTGACTAAATAATTGACTTATTAATATTATGCTAATGTTCGTAGTTCAAAAATCGATTAACTGATTAATGCAAATTTAATAAACAAAAAAGAAAAGATGAAGATTTTGTTCCACAAACATTATGACTGAAATTTCCTCTCATTTCAAAACTCAACGTATTCGATGATGCTACTCTGCACTCGTCTCGACTTGCTTTTTGTCACAATAAAACAGATATCCTTAATTGCTTGCTTTTATCGGCCATCTATCACTACTCGTGGCTGATGATGTTCAAGATCGCCCATTATTTTTCAACATAATATTACTATATTAATACTTTTACAATATATTTATGAACAGCAAAATAAAAGTGCGGGCTTTAATTTTAAGGAGGAAACTTATGTCCTCGTATTCTCATCTGGTCATTTGCAATAAGGTATTATATATGCACAAGATAATGTCAATAATTATAAGCATAACCACGAATAATTTAATAATGTAATCATTATTTGTCTTCGTGCGCTAGTCTAATAAACATAATTACCCGTTCGATATTTGAATCAGATGTCAAATTCAAAATTATCAAAAATTCATCGACGGCTTAACAATTTTAAATGTATCACATAATTCTAAGATATTTACTATATTGTTATTAACATAAATAAAATACAATGACAGTATTTGATTAAAATCCAAATGGATATTTTGAATTGTATATATTAAAAGAATCGGTTATAAAAGTAACCGATCAATGGAGATCGAATGTGATGAGAGGGTGGGACCGTGTTTACAGGTTATGTTTACAACTTCAGCGCGTCTTGCGGTAGCGTCCATTGTGATTTTAAAGAAAACGATATTCCAAAATTATTTATTGTGTTAATGTTAAAAATATCATAATGTGAATGATGCATTTGATGCACAGGTTCTCTTTAATTTTTGCATATATTATATTCTAAAATTAAGAGTATAGGATGCGCTCTTTTCTTAATTTAATATAAGAAAAGCTTATATTTTATGTTGCGTTTCCGTTCAAGAATGTTAACGACTATCTTTTTTGGTACCTGCATTATGATAATTTGTTAGCATGTTTGTATCTTGATTTTATATGAATAAATATTCATATATTGTCCATTAAGAATGGCAGAAAGTAAGCTACATTTTTTTGTATTTTTTAACAGACTAAAGTTCAATATAACGATTATTTTTTCTTTTAAATTTATTACGTCATTTACGATAGAAGTAATAGTTATAACAACTGCAATTTTAATATTATTCTAGATACTGCAAATGGTACCAATAATGACGCTAATCACAGATCCAAAATATTTGAGTAAGTATTGTTTGTTTTATTTATTTGAAACATTATTTAAAATACAGTTTTTTTTTTAAATATTTTATTATTATTTTAATAACAGTCTGGAATAATTGATTAATTATTAAAACAATGAGAAAGTATTTATAAATTTTTTTTTAATCTATCATTTAAAATGTATATTAAATTGGACAATAAATATTTCAACTATTGCATTGCATTATAGTTGTATGAAACAAAATTTATTAAATACAGAAAGTCTATTATATTGAAAAATTAAAATTAAATTATTATATAAATTGTATAAAAAGAATAAAAATAAAAAAAATAAAAAATAATTGCATTTTAAATTATTTATATAGTTAAATCATAAACATGTTAAATATATGAAAGAGATATTTTTTTATAGAATGATTATATTATTTATAGAATATATTATATAAAATGAAAGTAACAATGTTGTAATTAGTAAAATGATTGTAGCGTTAAACAATATAGTATAAAGTACGTATTACTAAAAATCAATTTCAGTTTAAAATTTTCTTATAACATATTAAATAAATTTACACAATTCAATAACAATTCTTCATAATGATTTTCTTTAATTTTATAAATGTTTTTTTTGCATGCCATTTTAATGTAATAATGTTGTAATGTCATTTTATCATTATATTATTTTAAATTTTCTTAATTTAAGTCAAATATCCAATATACCAACCATGGAAGAGATTATGAAATCAGTAAACGAGTGCAATACAATTCGATATGCTTCATACAGAACTGCATCAAAAATGCAAGTTTTTCATAAAGCTTTAAATAGTGCGTATTTTAAATTTTATGTAATTTTTTTTATCGCAAATATGCATAGGTGTATTTGTGTATATCAAGTGATTTATTTTCAATTTTAGTGCATTATGTTCAAGTGGAACTTATTGCAGCAATTTTTGAACGACATAGGCTATCGGTTACAGAAAATTCAGTCAGCTTAGACATTCATGAAATAGAGGATGTACTATCAGATATTTATTTTGCAGCTCAAAAAGAGAATAATATCAATTTTGATAATGATAACTCTATAAAATTAACTCTGAATTATTTATTTAAAACGTTTAATAAGTAAGTAAATCTTTAAAAGAAATATCTTTTATACAACAACAAAAATGATATCTTTCTATTCTAATTTTAGGAAAGAAAATGAAAATATTTCAGTACTTTCTGTTAAAGTGGCATTGGCATTAATTAGCTGTGGGCGTTTAGAAGAAAAATATGGTTATTTATTTCATCAATTAGCAGATCACAATGCATGTTTATCAAGAGCTGCGCTTAATATTCTTTTGACAAATATTTGTAAGATAACTGAAATGTTAGGGGAAAATGTTGCGTATGGGAATCATCTTATCCGTACAAGCATCGATAGTTGCTTTAGTGTGGTAAATCGAGTCTTTTTGCTTATATACTGTCTAATAAATAATTTAATAACCATAATTTTTTTTTTATACTTAAGTCTCAAGGCTGTCTCGGAGTCACTGAAGCAGAATTTGCAGCTTGGCTTATACAAGAACCACCACTTTTAATGTGGATTACAACTTTAAATCGTATAAAATCAGCCGAGCAAAGTATATATTTTTAAAACAAATTCAATAATTAGTACATAAATAATTCATTATTAATAAATTAATATTTTCCTTCAAGATGCACATTCTCTTTTTCAAAAATTAAAAAACATTTCATATAATTATACAGCTTACATAAAATATACAATTTACAAAATATTTAAAAAGACTATGACTTATGACATTATATTTTATTTATTGCACTTTTTTCTTTAAAGAAAAGCTTCTGAAATGTATCGATGTTTTTTAATTTTTTATATAAAAATTAAAAAAAAAAATATATCATTCAATATTTGCAGTTGTGCATAATATTAAATGTTCGTCATGTAAAACAACACCAATACGAGGGCCAAGATATTCTTGTTTAAAATGTACTGGTTATAATCAGTGTCAAATATGTTTCTTGTATGGCAAAAAATCAAACAAACATAAATTAAAACATCCCGTTCGAGAATATTGTATTAAGGTATTTTAAATTCGATATATACATAATGTAAGAATAATTATATGTAATCCCTTGATATAAAAATTAATTTTTTAGACAAATGGCAAAGAAATAACAAAAATTCTTATTGAATTAATTAGAAATAAACTTCGATTGTGTCCATCAAGAAGTGCAAATAGTTCATTGGATGATTCTTTATCAGGAGTTAATCTGTAAGGCTTGTTTTTATTATTATATCTATATTTCTTTGATGAAAACATATGAAATGTATTTTTATTTATAATGAATACTTTTTCTATTATTACCTATAATACAAAGCGCGAAAGCGAATTGAAAATATACGTACATACAGTACACTATGATCGCATTATAATTTATAGAGAAGATTATTTCGTTATATTAATTAGAGTTAAAAATTAACATAATAAAAATATTTTGCTATTCAAATATCTAAAGAATATTATTTATACTTTTGTAGCGAACAAGCAAAACATTTTGATACCTTGTCGGTAAGGAGTACAATCAGAAGACGAATTCTTAATGATCCACAAAAGGAATTGCAAAGTATTATTAGTCACCTCGAAGAGGAAAATAGACAACTGCAGATAGAATTAAGGGAAATTAGTGACAGTAGAGTTGATAAATTGCAAAATCATAGAGTTGCAATAGAATCGCAATTAGAACGTTTAAAAATTTTAAAAGTAATTTTCAAATAATAAACATTACATTTGTTTTGAATTAATTTTATATCATTTAAATTAAAAATTTCAGAAATATTTATTTACCCAAGGATCACATGGATCTCGAGATTTGAATATTATGCAAAGCACACCCATGGTTCATCCAAATACATCTAGAATATCAGCTTTACCAATGGCCTTTCAATTAAGTCCAATAATACATTATAATAGTCCAGACTATGAAAATTCAAAAATATTAGACAATAATGATGCAATTAACAAAAATAATTCTACAAATATGATGGGAGATAGGCTTTTTTATAGCGATAATTTTTGCATATCTGACGATACATGCATAGAACCAAGTACATGGATAGGAGGTAACAAAACTAAAGGCTTCACTCATCAATAGAAGTTAAAATAAATTTTTAAAATTAAAAACAATTGCACACAAGAAATAATTTTAATATAAGTTTATTTATAATTAAGTATATTTATAATTTATTTATTTAATATGTATATTTGTTTAATGTATATTTAAAAGAAAATCAATTATTAATCATTGATAACACTTTTCATCGCAGGTCATCAAACTGCATTTACAACACATCGCAGTGGATTTTCTCAGTGGTTAAACTCAAGAGAAAATAAAAACAAAGTTGTGGAAAAATCGGATGATAATGAAAATATTGAAATAGATGACTCTACCTATTCAGGTACTAGCAGAGATGTATTACCCTCTTTACAACCAACTGATAAGCATTCGGAGCACAGTAGCTTACAAAATATTCAAGGCGATCTCAATGATATTTTAGATAGACTGCAAAATATGGTTGCTAATGACTGTTTGCTCGAAGGTATTGTTTCCATGTTCTACCTTTTATTGCTTTTAATAATAAAATTACTTTGAAAATTAGGTGAAATTATAAAAACACGTTTATTAAAATTCTATTATATCATTACATATTAATTTTATTTAAAAATCGCTGAATTTAGTGTAGCATAAATTTAATTCGTGATATAAACAAGCTTCCATAATGAATTTAAAGGAACATATTTTATATCATTTTTTTTTATTTTCTAATTTTGAATTTTTTTTATCTTATTACAGACACGTTTAGTGTAGATAATAATTGTGAATTGAAACGTGCTGCTACGGAGATGGAAGATTTGTTAACTGGACTTATTGAAGGTATGGAATCTCGAAAGGGTAAACTCACAACGATTGTGTAAACAATTTTAAATTAACTTCGTGAAGTATTTATATGAAGTTGATTACTATAAAATATTAAGCGCCTAATTTTTATAAAAATTTATAATTTGCAGATACTGCAAAAAATTATGAATAAAGGTATATTAATTATTATTGCATGTATTGTTTCATATAATCAAATGAATATTTTTGATTATTGCGAAATCCACTTTAAATTTGTATGTAAGCAGATAAATTGTACTTTTATTTTTATTCAATTTATATTTATGCAAAAGACATAAAATTTTTTTTTTATAAAAATTTCCTAAAATTTTTATACTGCATTGAAATACCTTGTCAAATACAACATGCATATATAAAAATTAAAAATTAACTATAACAAGTCATCTTCAATATTAATAAAAAATCTTTCCTAAAGATAATCAACTTAAACACAGAACAGTTGCTTTACAATTTGTGCAAAGTTATATTTTATAACTGTTTTATTTCTTTATGAAAGTAGTGTATCAGTTAAGTATGTAACTTTAAGATTTTTTGCAAAATGTATTTTTTCAGTAGGCAAATTCACAGTCCAAGCAACTATTCGAATTCCTCGATTATTCCATTGGCGAATGCATTCTCTGAAATATACATTCATGTTTAAAATTAATTATTCAATGTTTTAACATTATTTAGAGAGATTAATTTTTTCATACTATTGTTTCTCTTACATATTTTGAATATTAATGTTAATAATTATAAATAATTATAAAATAAATCTACTATGAAAATAGTATAATAATAATTTACCACATGAGATTTACGAAAATATAAAGAAAAAGTAAGCTAGTAATGATTACATTATTAAGATTTAACTAGATTTATCTTATGATAATATGAAATTAAAATTGTTACGGAAGGACTCTGTTTTTTTAGAAAAAATTAATACAACATAGTTGACAACAAAGTTCACATACAAAAGCTTTTTAAACATTTTCATACGCTTTCAAATATACAGCAAAAATAAATAATAATTATTTTTATGTACTGAAATCAATTAAGAAAATTAATAACTTACAAACTAATAACATCTTTGTGAAGTAATAGAAAAGATAATCCAAGAATATAGTATGTTACATTTTCTAGTGCCCACTTGTGAATGATATCAACAATTACAGCTCCAATTTGTTTAAATAAATTATTGTAACGAGGTTTATATGGTCCATCTATTCCATTATAATTATTCATAGAAAATATTCGAGGTCTCCATGCTATACCTGCTACAATACCAGGATCTCTTTTCCTAATCTATGAAATAAATTTTAATTCACAATAAAATATATATTTTCAACTTTCAGATTTGGTGTAATATTTTAATAAAATTATTACCGTATAAACTGTAATTGGATTAAATGTGCTTATAACTGCTTTTTCATAAAGCTGTGGATGTTTTTTGAAAGCATTTAAAACTGTTTCAATTATTTCGTTAGTATGTACTTTTATGTCTATAAACATACGTTTATCATTTTGTAAAAATTCCTTCAGTACTTCATCGAATAGCGCTATTTTTGCACCTTCAGGGAAAAGTTTACTTCTATAAAATAATGGTAATTAATATTTTTTCATAAAAAATCTCTTTTAATTTTTATAATTAGGAGTGTTACCTAAGAGGGTGATTTGCAGAAATATCATAATCTTTCAGTTCGCTCCATGTCATATCTCTAATATAACCACTTATTCCAGTCAAGCGATCAATGGTAGAATCATGAAATACAATAGCAATATTATCCTTTGTTAAATTTAAATCGATTTCAATTCCATCACAACCTTTTTGATAGCACTTGAAATTAAATTATTTTTGATATATTTCAAATTTTTCTATTTTTTATCAAGTATTAAATAATTAATAATACATTATATACAAATATTACATTTGATCAATAATTTGATGAAATTGGCTAATATATAATACATAATATGAATTGTAAAAAATGCTCTACGATTTGAAAATATAATAAATAATTTTAATATCTTTATTTCATTTCAATTACAGATATCAATCTATACAATTATTTGTTGCTGGATAAATTTTGTCAATATTTAGCGACCCCGTTACATATAATTTTGTATATATAAGTTCAATGTGATCAAAAGTAAAAATAATAAACAATTGAACTTACATAGCGATAAGCAGATAGGCTATTTTCTGGATAATCATATCCCGCGCCTCTATGAGCTACGACTTTCATGGAATATTCTTCATCATTATCGTTATATTTTTCATTAAGCTTTATAGGATCAATACCAAGAACTTTATTTACAACATCAATGTTAGGTGGAGGTACTCTAGCACCAAACATAATAAAAAGATATAATGCGATGATACCCCAAATGAACCATGGCACCGTTAAGTAAATGCAATTTATTAGAAATACGCATGCCGTTTGCAAATAAAGCCATATCAGACTACTTGCTATTATCAATTCTATACAGTTCCACATTACCAAAGATTTTGTTACTATCTAAGTTTGCCTTGTAAATCTGATGTATTAAATAATATATATTATCTAAATACTAATTAAGATAATAATAATTTTTATTATGGTTATCGCTTAAAATTATAATTATTACAATTGTTAGTGCACAGGTACATTCACTATACAAATAATTTTTGAGTGGTTACTAATTATTGCTTAACCTGTAAGTGAATGTTTTAGACTAATACATGAAGGTGGATAACCGGTGTTTGTTTCTGAAGAGGAGATGAATAGGAGAAGTTGATAGGCTTTGGGAATTGAACATTAGATACATTAAAGCTTTATATTAATACTTATTTTAAGCAGTCTTTAAATTATTATTATTGACAACCAACTTCAAGATTTTCACCGAACTTTTGTCTGATACTTATGCCAATTAAATTGCTGCTCTAGTCACATTGGCTGTTTTACACCCCCTCTCCTGTTTTTTTGACAGCAAACAGATTTTCAATTTTTACAATAAATTATTTTCTATGAACGTGAATGTAACTTGAATTGCATATTTTCAGGAAACTTTGCTATTTAAAAATGCTATGTAAACAATCATATGGAAGAAAAATAAATAAAAATTCCGACAACTTCGCTTTACACAAATTATATAATTATCTATAGGTAATATGTTAAAAATAGTATTGCCTTAGCTTAAGTAAGTTATTTCGCATTACAAATTCCGTCATGAGACCTCATTAAACATTGATATTTATTAGTAAAATAAAAGAAATATTATTGTAAACTAATTTGTAAATTTGTTTAAAATTTATTGTTTTTTTTTTTTTTTTTTTTTTTTTTTTTTTTTTTTTTTACTTTTCTTTTAAAGGGGGCAATAATAGTTAGTCAAACATTAAATAATAAATTAAATAAACACTGATTCTTTAAAATTATTTTTGAAAACTTACAACTTAATTTTCATAGTAATGTTTTATTGGATAAAAAAATTTATTTATATAAAAATAATAACATATTTAAAAGTGTGATAATACAATTAAATAATTTTTAATAATCTAATATTAAATGATGTTTTTTATGTAAAACTCATTATTGTCATATTTTAATATCATGTACTTTTTATGTTTAGAAAATTAATTGTAATTTTTATTATGAGCTACAATAACTAATATTTGTTTTATTTACAAATTTTTTTCCACTGCAAATAAATTAAATAATGATTTTCCGTAATAAATATAATGCCGTTTCTTTGTTTTTTCTATATATTTCTATATATAAAAATGCAGTTTATCTATTTCTAAATATTTGAAATATAAAATCAACTTTTGAAATATTTTAGTTAACATTTTCTGTTATAACAAAAATAAAGTATTATTTACCAATACAAAAATGTTTAAATATTGTATCTAATACTTCTTCTGTGCTAATATTACCAGTAATTCTTCCAAGTTCTCGAGCTGCTTTACGAATTTCTTGGCAAGATAGGGCAATATCATAATTTTTATTCGATGTTATTTCAAAATAATTTAGAAGATATTTGTGGCAATTTGTAATATGATTTCTATGCCTTTCTTGACTTATTGTTGGATTCTCCGCCGAAGGATTTCCGCATCTAATAACAATAAATATAACATTTACTTTCTCCATTCATTTACTTTTAAATTTATATTTTATTTATAACTTACATTTGTAGAAAATATTTATTCACAGATTCAAATAAATCTTGAAAGCCTTCTTCATTAATACAGGAAATACCAATAAAATTATTATCTCTTAATGTTCGTTTATCATTAATACTTAATAAATCTATTTTGTTAATAATTATCATACAATTGCTAATTAAATGGCCATTCTTTAAAAGTAAATCTTCCAATTTAAGATTTTTAATATAATTATAAAGATATTCATTCGGCATCTTTTTACTTTCTTTGTATTCTAATGCACTGATTACTAATATAATAAAGTCTGCTTTACTAGCTTGATCTCGAGCCCTCTTTATACCTTCCATTTCAATAATATCTTTTGAAAAGTTATTCAGACCAGCAGTATCGGCTAATAGTACTGGATAACCAGAAATATTTGCTGTTAATTCAATAACGTCTCTTGTTGTGCCTGGAACTGCAGTTACTATCGCGGCATTTCAGTAGACTGCTTTTTCCGACATTGGGTTCTCCAAGTATAACAGTTCTTATACCATTCCGCAAAATCTCTCCTTTTCTCCCATCTGATAAGTGTTTTTCAATATTTTCAGTGAAATTTTTTAAATCAATATTACATTGTTCTAAAACGTTACTTTCAATATTATCCTCTTCGCCAAAGTCTATATAAGCCTCTATGTGTGCTAGATATTGCAAAAGATTTGTTCTCCAACTACTGTATAAAATACTAAGATTGCCATGAGCTTGAAGTAAAGCTTGTTTTCTTTGTAGTTCGGTCTCAGCATGAATTAAATCAGCTAAACCTTCAATTTCTGTTAAATCTAATTTATTGTTAAGGAAAGCTCGTCTCGTAAATTCTCCAGGCATTGCTGGACGAAAGTTTAGTTTTGATAGCGCAGTCATTACAGCGGTAATTACTGCACTGCCACCGTGCACTTGAAATTCGACACTATCTTCACCGGTAAACGAATTTGGAGCTGCACAAAACAGACGGACAATTTTTAAATATTTCTGACTTTGTTCATTGTGATAATTAAAAAAATTATGTATATTTAAATTATCACACAAATATTATTTTATATGTACCAGAACAGAAATTAATGAGTATTGATATTTCATTCTTCTCATGCTTTTATACTTTAAATTAAATATTCAAAGTTTGAAATTTGAATTATTATAATATGAAAAAAAAAAAAAAAAAAAAAAAAAAACAGAAAAATTTGAATAATAAACTTGTTTGCTTAATTTATGAAGCCTTCGGTGATAATACAAGGAAGTTTTTAAATCTCCATAAGCTTTTTTCTTTCTTAAAAAACTAAAAAAATACTTATTACTTAAAATTGAAATAATATTAGTTGCGTTACCTGGGAACCACAGACATATTCCTTTATCTATAATTTCTCCGGTATAAGGATTACAAATGTTCCTTAGATAAGCTCTTCTAGATTCAAGTTTACTTATTTTTGTCATTTTTTCTATAGCTATTTTAGCATGAATACCTGTTATCCTTACAACAGCAACACCACATTTTCCTTGTCCTTCAATTTATTTTGTATTAAAATAACTTTTACAAGTATAATAAGAAAAATAAGAAATATATTAACCAGATGAAAGGGCATATATGGTTGAATTTCTATTTGATGAATCAATTAAAACTTTCCTACGTACGCAATTATTCATTTGTAGTACATTGTTATATCTATTGTACATTTTCATAAAAAACATTTCTATAGATAATCCAACAATATTAGATAATAACACTATTTCATAAAATAAAAATGTATTTAGATTTTCTACACTTTTTTTGTATTATAATATTTGTTCAAAAAATACTTAAGAACTTAATAGTATATAATGAGAAATAAATTCGATATAAATAAAATATGTGCATTTATACGTAATTTCACAATTTTATAACAATTTATTATTTCGTTAAAATAAAAAATTCCAAATTAAAATAATAAATAATTTGAAAATAGAAGATTATTTATTTAATATTTAATATCATCAAAATATTTGTGATACACAACGAGCTTTCGAATTTGATCGCAGGTGCATGAAATGTATAGACATCATTGTTTGGCAAATTCAAAAACAATAAAAAACTTATGCATACTTTCATGAAATAATTCCTTATTTATCAATTAAATTATAAAATAAATTGATAATGTTAGTAATCATAACAATGATAATAGTTAATAATGGTAATTTAATGCAAATCAATACAAAAATAAAGTGTTTAGTACAATTTATAGCACACAGATTGCGCGTTATTAGTCTATTTAACGATTCTCAAATTCACTAAAAAGAAACTAGAAAATTGTTGAGGTAAACCGAATGAAAAAGGCGCCTTCACTAATGATGTAAGTTAAAAGAAAAGAAAAAAAAAAGAAAAAAAAAATTGTTAATTAAAAAAAGAAAACAACAACTATCTTACATGAATAAGATCATGGTTGAAAATATAATCTCAACTGAAAATGTTGGACGATTCCAGCAGCTCTTTTTGCGTTGGAATCTTTTATAAACTTATGCGTTTATAAACATGGAGAGCTTAGCATTTGTTCATCGATAAAGCTCATTATTAATGAAATTCCTTCTTAATTGTTAATTTCTAATGAATAAAAATGACTGCGTTACGTGGATAAGTAGATATCTAATATGAGTTTGTGTAAGTCTTGCTAGATTTTGACTGATTAAAAAATTTTTTACTTTAAAGTTCATTCTTTGAATTCAACCAATTCAATAGTCGCCTTATTTTTGTACGAAATATCAAATTACATTAATTAGGATATAATTTATGTGTAGTTTTCAAACCTCGTTTAACTATATTTTAAAAATTATTTTAAAACGAGAGTTCTTAACCGGCCTTTACCTTATTTCATTGCATACCATGAGTCGAGCGCGCGAACTTTTAATCACAATGGCAATTAATACATCGAGTAAGATGGCAACAAATTGGATTGAGCTTTGATATAAAAATATAAGTTTCCATAAATGACTATATCAACATATATATATATATATATATATATATGACATTACTAGTTAATTAATAAGTAAGCGCTAATTTATTGCAAATTGCTTAATTATAGACTGACATGTAAGTTATGTTACCACGTCAAGCACCCATGACTATTGATACCCAAATTTCTATCATATTCCTATTTTTTTTTTTTTTTTTTTTAAACGAGAACTCTAATCTACATGATAACATACAAATTTTGATTAATCAATGTGCCATTTATGCCCGCGATTATTATCATAAATAGAACTAGTAGCTTTAGCCCGTTGATTTTGATTGCCGACAAGGAGTCGGAAGTTCGGCAGCACCAGCCAACGAAGATCTCTAGTGCGCATGTGGCAATGACGGGACGATATCGAAATCCCGTGAGTTAGGCTTCTTTATTGTCAGTCGCCATAGTCAATATTCTTTTGCGCGTGCTGTTGTCGAAGGTACGTCGATGTCCATAAATCGAATGTAATCAAAGTAATCTGTAATTCATCTGTAATTTTGTAAATGTATTTTGATATTTTAATTGTCAACCATTACTTGTTTATGTGTAATTTTCCTCCTCCGTCACCTCATTCTTTGTTCTGTTGTCCCAATATTTTTGCACAAGATAGCATCGTTTGTCCCATAACCTTATATTAGTTTTTGTGTTTTTACTACTAGAATGGCACTGAAATATGAATTGGCCGTCGGCCTCAACAAGGGTCACAAGACAACGAAAATCCGGGTAGCAAAGAACAAAGTTAAGAAAGACAAAACTGTTGCCATCAGGCCCGCTCGGCTTAAAGGAGTGAGTGTTTTTCAATAATAATAATTTGTAGGTTAGGTTGGTATTATCAAATTTCATTACGATAAACATATATTAGAAATAGTTTGGGTGCCTCGCTAATTCATGATGTTATTTATTCAACTTAATTATTGTTTCTTATTATATTGCCATTAAATTAATTATAGTGGGCAGTGATATGTAATAAAAATATTTTAATAATTTCAGTTTATAGTTAATTATTTCTATCGAGTGAATCGTAGCATTTAATCAATTATTTCGGACAAGAATATTTTCCGATAATTATTATTAACGAGCATTATGTTTCAGCGTCAAACAAAACACAGTAAATTTGTAAGAGACCTCATTCGTGAAGTTACGGGACATGCACCGTATGAGAAGAGAGCTATGGAATTGTTAAAAGTATCCAAGGATAAGCGTGCTTTAAAATTCTTAAAAAGGAGGGTACGTTGGTCACATATTCTTTTATAAATATGTATATAATGTTGCAAGTATTAAAGCATCAATGGCTCTGTTTTAAAATTATTAAAACTACCGCAGGTTTGAACAGTATTATCTATAAATAATATTTAATTACAATTGTCGTAATATTTGATTTTATAAATGATCGATTTGTTTTTTATGGGTATGTAGTATTAATAACATTTTTCATGGGTATGAAATAAAACAAAATTTTTATTGGAGAGAAGAGAACAATGAAAACGATGTTGTTTTTATAGTTTATAAATTTTTTAAACAGAATTCATTGCAATGTTTTGCTATTTACCAAATTTATTTTTAAGTCTTTTAACTTGAAGTATAATTTTATAGCTTGGAACTCACATTCGTGCTAAAAGGAAGCGTGAAGAACTAGGAAATATCTTGGTACAGATGAGGAAAGCTGCTGCACAGCATCATTAAATGACGTTTTATAATTATAAGGATTTTACTTATTGAAATAATAAAAAACAGTAAAATGTTTATGTTAGTTTCATTTATGAAGTTACAAAATAAACGTGGTAATAATGCTTTAATTTGAGTTACAAATGTGGGAAACATTAATATTTCTTATGTATTTGAATTATTTATCTTTGGTTTTGTATCTATCAAATATTTTATTGAAAAAAAAATCACAATCAATTATATCGTGTAACGTTCTTTACTATATGTTGCGTAATTTAAAAAATAATCTAGATAATTAAATTTATTTTTTGACTTTGTAACCCTCTATGAGATTTTATTTTCTTTAATGTAACGTTTTAAAAAAGTTCAGTAGTATATCTTGAATATTACTATTAGCATCATTAAAAGAATTAAATTTAAAACTAGATTTATACTTATACTTTTAAAATTTAAAATTATTTTAAATGGTTCTATTCTCTATTTTATCCTATTTTAAATAATTTTAATTTACTAAAAATGAAAGTGGACGTAGGTATAAATGCTAACTAGTCCTTAATCGAAGTAAGAAGAAAAAAAATTAATCTATTGTTTTGCATTACTTGTTGCTTTTTTAATTTTGATTAAAGGAAAATTTATCTCGAATGTAAACAATAAAGAAATATATTAAATTTTAATAGAATTTCGTTTAAAAACTTTTTGCTATAAAATAGTCGGAAAGTTATATTATATATTTTTCTTTCTTTTTAATGAAATACTATTTTTTCGATGTAAAAATAAATTTTAGTTTCAAAATATTTACTTAGTTCCCATATTTTGGCCTAGAATTTAAAATTAAATAATAAAATAGATGAATTTAAAATTATTGTCAAATTATATATATTATTATTATATATTATTAAATCTTCGTTAAACAAATATTTTAAAACACGCTTTGTTACTTTACTAATAAACTCAAAATAGTATTAAAAGCTTAAATAACGTCTGAATGTTTGATAGGACTTATTAAAAATTGTAATAGAATCACAGATTTTCTGTAGTTACTTCGTTATTCCATACTAAATGAGCTCAAAATGTCTCGTCCTGAAAAGGGTGAATTGCGTGTCGGGGGAAGATAAATAAAAAAAGAAGGAAGAAACGTCATTCTTAAGTGGCATGACGTCGGTGAACAATAGGGGCGGGGGCTGGTGGTTTTTCCCCTGACATTGGTGACTGCGGTTGATCCTTTACGAGGGATGTTCTGCCATCAAGGACTCAGTCGCTCCCTTTATGTTTTTAACAGGAGCTAGAATACTTCATTTTCGGTTAATGGCGTTGCTGTATAAGCAACGAGAGCCATAGAGAAGGGCGTTTAGTTATTACGCTGATTGCGGGAAAATTGGCGTTGTGCGAGGGGAAGGATGAATAAAGTGAGCTCAGGCTGTACACATTTGGGGGCACTTCCACTGATTCTTGGAACAAATTGTTATGATTTTTAAATATTGTTAGAAATTGGAAATTACGATTTGTTCTAACGTTTTACAATATGATTTGAAGTCGCTTGGGCTTAAGCATAAATTTTTACGGTCTTATGAAAATTTCACAATAGATCGTTTTAGATAATTAAAAAAGTCATAAAACATATAAAATTTAAGTTAGAAATATAATTTATAATAAGAAATGGATTATTGAGTCAAGTGGATGGGCGGTACCGTTGCAACCCATGGTATTGTTCAACCAAGGATACCGTATGCAAAATATAAAGTTATTGCCAGGATTCACAGACTCTCTGATCTCGATTCTCTATATTCCTATACATACCATTTTCCTACTCATCTTCTCTACTCTGTCATTCTTTCGCCCCTTTCTCTAGACTTGTATTTTGTCTCTAGACTTGTATTTTGTCCCTCTTTCCTATCTCCCATGAGTGGCTTTGTCGTTCGAAGGCTAGGATCGATGTATCCTCCAAGCCTCCGCAGCTTCTCCAATTCCGAATCCTTTTACCAAGAATTGCTGTTAGCTTGAAAGTCCCTCTTCATTCTCAAAATTTATAAAATGATCCTCGTACTTTGTTATAAAATATAAAATAAGGAGAAACTCTGTTATTTATATATAAAATACATGATATTCTCTCTATCCACATAAATTTGCGATTCTTTATTTATTTAATATAAACGATAATTTATTTTATTCTTATTATCAATTAATTTTATTTATTAATTAATTTATTTATTAATGCTTGATGTTGATTTTCAAAGTACAATACATCATTATCATTTTTTTTTTACGATAAATCATTATATATAATAGTTTTTTTTACAAAATAGTGTATAAAATAAAAATTTAATTTAACTCAAAATAATTTTTGGAAAATCAATGTTAAATTTTATAATAAAAATAAATACATATTTTTATTTTGTTTGCATTTTCTAAGTGTGAAAATATGTTTATAATTATTTATAAATTCTTATAAATAATTATTATAATTATCAAATGATTTTATATGATTTTATTATTATTCTAAAATTTTAACGAATATTTTATATAAATTTTTTAATTCTGTTAAATAATTTAATTATATTAGTTTTATAGTATATATCGTAGATAAAGCCAATATTTAATAAAATTTCTCAAACTGCTAGCTGCAGTAACAATATAATTTTAAAAAATTTATTTTTAACAAGCTTTTACTTTTATAATTTATAAAGAAATATCGTTTGTTAAAAAATTCTTCGAAGTTTTATGTTAATTTCATAAAAATAATTTTGCCTATTATGTTTATTCGTGATAAACAATCTTATAGAATTTTCTAAAGTTAATGTATAAATTTAATTTCAAAAGTTTTAATTAATGGAACAATTTTCATAATGATTTTAGCAAAATAATCTTGGATGAAAATACAAATCATTGTAAATACTGTTGTTTCATATTATATTCTAGGCACATTCAAAGTAATTACAATCTTTTGTCTAAATATTCTTATAATCTTACAAATTTTAAAATAGTGTTATATGTTTAATTAAAAATTTAAAGTGGACATTTTTTATTATTTTGCATATCTAGATTTACGAAGTTATTATAATAATAACAATACACTTGAGTTACAATAATATACGCACATTAAAATGGCCTTTAATCTTCAAAATTGTATATTTATAAATCAATTTATTTATACAAGAGAAGCTTTATTTTGTCAATTATGATCTTGTATTTTAATGAGTATATATTATTACTGAATTTTTGTCAATATAAATTTAAATTAATTATTTACAAGTGCAGAATATACAAGTTTTTAATATTAATAACATATTATAGTTTTAAATGAATTAATTATAATAAAACTAAAAAATTAAATGTTCAAAGATATAATGTGAAATTCTTTTCACTAATAATGAAATAAAAACAAATTTCATATTAGTTATACATAGCTTTATATAATATACTTAAGACATTTTTAAACTCTGATATACTTATTATACAAGGAGCTCTTGCTTATATGTATTTTATTTTTAGATTTTAACACTTTTGAACTTATTTAATGAATATTGTTTTGATATATCGATGTATTAATTTTATTAATATAATTGTCAGTTTTTTTTTTTCATATGCATTGTAGTGAATTTGCAACTTGTTTAATGTTTCAAGGTAATTGTCTTAAACAGGTAAAAAAAAATTAAAAATATAATTTATGTGAGGTTTGTTTTATGGTCAATTTGATTATTACACATATATAACTAATTATACTAACCATTATTTATAAAAGAATAAAGCATACATTTTAAAAACATTTATATATGCATACTTAAGCAGCAGTAGTGAAATATTAATTATTGAAACGTTATCGTCTTTATGCTTATCGCAATCTACGTTTACTATTATGTTCAAAAGGATTATTTATATTAAATTAAAGCTATTAAACTCCATTCTGAACTAAAGTGTAATATGGATCATAGATTGCTTTTCGACAGCAAAAAAAATTTTGTTCAACACACATACTTAAATTCGTGATTAATAAACAACTCTAACATAGAGTGAAGAATTAGATGAACTGCTGACAGTATCTCGGTATACGCGTATCCGAGATTCATGTAAGAGGATAAGGAATTTGTGGCGTGATGGACTCGATGTTTACGATCGTTTTACATTGAAGAAAGAATTTGCATTGACAAAATGACTTTGTAATATATTGTACCGGATATTCCTAAGACTTGTTATATTTTCCGATTAAATTGGATTCCATGAGTTATAACCGCTGTATTTTTCAATAAAATTGGACCACTAACTTGCTTCACTGAAGCACTGTATATTCCATAATATCTTCTATGTCTTCTACTATTTTCTTAAATAAAAACAAAAAAAAAAAAAAAAAAACAAAATCGAAAATATATTATATTATAATATTTTATATTTTGTTAAATTTATCCACATTGAATAAGTCATAGACTTAAAAATTTGCAAATATATCTATAAATTCTATTAATGTGAATATTAACATTTAATTATTTCATTAATATAATTATTTATAATTAATTGGTAATATTTTAGTAGACATATTAATGACATATTGAATAATTAATTTTATAGTAACAGAAATTTTTCTCTTTTTCTTAAAATTATTAAACAATTCATATAATAAGCAGTAAAAAACAGTATAAAATATATTCATTTGATTATCTGTAAATACAATAGTACAATTGATTTATTATTTATGTATAAAATAATATTTATATTAATTCCATTATAAATTCTATTATTAATCATTAGTCTTAAATTGCAAATAATAAGAAAATATCATTAAATTCAGGTAATGGATCTAAAACGAAATTTTAAATTGAAATGTATTAAAAGAAATCTATTATTTAATATAATACGTATGCAATAATAGAAAGTTTCTACTGTTGAATCAACAAATAGTACTAGGTTCGTGCCAATTCATAAATAAAACGACTTAGGCATAGGCACAGAAGCAGCCATAGATACACATAAGAGAGTATTACTCGAGCAGACAGTAAAACGTATACGCATACACGTAACAGGCAAAGAAACATAAATAAGACGGTTATGCACGTGTGCATGGGTGTTTGCACATATATATCTAAACATAGAAAGAGAGAAACAGAGACAGAAAGAAAGTCACCCCTCTTAGTTTCTCAAA